CTCCCGTTCGCAGTCCCTCCCGAGGGGCCCGGCACGCCGTTCCTTTCTTGCCCCCTCTCGCAGCCCTTTTTCCTCCGGTGCCCACCAGGCACCCCCACCACAGTTCGGCTCCTCCGAGCCCCGGCCTCCTCCCAAGTCCTCCCCGGCCCCGCCCCTGCTCCCGGGCGGATACAGTTTGAAGCCTCTCAGGATATCCCTGGCCCGCTCGTCCTTGGCTGACATGATGCGGCGCCTGCCGCCTGCGGCCCTCCCACGCTGGCTCGGCGGGGCCTCGCAGACGGTACCCAGGAACCGAGGACGGAGCCGCTCCCCGGCCGGACACCTCAGGCAAGCAGCGGTAGCGGCCAGACCCGAACCGGCCTCTCCCTCCCCTAAGCTCCCGCTCCTGATCCCTTCGCCTTCCCTCTAGTCGTGGAGCTCCCGCCCTGAAACCAATGGCAAGCCAGCCTTGGCGATTGACATCCCGAAGAGCCAATAGCAATGCTCAGCGGCTTCGCTCGGGGACGGAGAGCGTCAGTGGGAAAGGCCCTCTTGGAGGAGTCCCGGAGGACAGAATTTTCATTCGTGTTGTTGCCTAGAGTTTGTCCCAGCGGAGCGGTGGCTTGAAATCTTCAGAGGCTTGGGGAGTTTGCTCCCGTCGCCGGGCACACTAGCGGTCTGAGACTGTGGCAGGCTGCTCTGTGCAAGGTGGCAGAAACTACATTTCCCAGCCTTCCAGGGAGTACGCTATCCCAGCTCACCATTAGAAGCCGGGGACTACAAATCCCAGCACAATCTGCGCTCCATCTTTCTAACTTAGGCTCCAGTGTGCCGCGCAGTGTGCGCAAATTTGGAATCCGTCTGTAGGGTTGGTTTCTGAATCCGGTTACTTGAAACCCGGAGGGAGCGTCCTTTTCTCCCTGGAGACATGACAGCCCACCGACAGTTAACTTCTGTTTACATGGAACTCAGAAGTCTGCAAACCATGGTAAGACTGCAAACAACTAACAAAACCACGTATTAATCCTTGAAAGATAATAATAGAACAAAATGACTTCCTCAAATAGTGCTGGTTTATTAGTCTGGGGTGCATTTTTACGTGTTTTGCAGGGTTTATGTTGTATTTCTGCTTCAGACTGGGAGACTAAGGATTGTATACTCAGTGTCAGTATAGGAAGACCTAAAAGAATTTAGCAACGCAATCACTTTTTAATCTTTAGTTTTTAAATATGAGGAGATGAGGACCGGAGAGGCAGAGATTGGCCACAGATCACAGCAAGTTCTAGAGTTAGGATTTAGCTTTAGGTCCACTGACCTGCAGTGTGGTCTCTTTCCACTACCCTAGGGAGGTGATATTTTTAGCAGCATGACAATGTGATTGTTTTTCTCCTTAACGAGCAGTTTCCCCAACTAGGTTGAAACGCCCAGAGAATAGGTAAGCATATTGGATTTCCTGAAAGAGGCTGTAGTGTAATAGTGTGATTTCCTCAGTCTAGATAGGTCTTGCTATTTTGACTTGCTCTTTTTTTTTTTTTGTCATTCAAGTTGACATTTAATATGATTTTTCCAAAAAGTAGAGTTGTTTTAGTCCTCTTTAAAGATGCCTGTGTCCTTCCTTAGGCCTTCTTTCCTGTTCCTGTTCCCACTATACCCATTTGAACACCTACACATTTTTCCCCCTTTGAAGTAATTCAACAAACTTTTTTTTTTTTTTTTTTTTTTTTGGCTCAGGTACTGAGTAATTGAAAGCTATGTCACCGTCATTGGAAGATACATAATTGTTTAGGGAGTTAAGGAGATTCAAGATAGAGTGATAAATGACATAAAAGAAAAGAAGTTAGAATGCCAAGAGGATTACCTCTTGGCCTTTTGGTTAAGATCAGGTGGAGAATGCCTTAGAGGTGCAACAGCTGCTAAAACTTTATGGTAGAAGTAGCGTTTTAATTTAAAACAGCGGTTTTCAGCGTGTGGGTCACAGTCCCTTTGGCAGATCTCTATTTCCAAAAATATTTACACTATGCTTTATAACAGTAGCAAAATCACAGTTGGAAAATATCAATGAAGCCGGGCGACGGTGACGCACACCTTTAATCCCAGCACTCGGGAGGCAGAGGCTGGCGGATCTCTGTGAGTTCGAGACCAGCCTGGTCTACAGAGCTAGTTCAGGACAGGCTCCAAAGCCACAGAGAAACCCTGTCTCGAAAAACCAAAAAAAAAAAAAAAAAATCAATGAAAATAATTTTGTGGTTGGGGGTCACTACAACATGAACTGTATTAATGGATTGAGCCATTAGGAAGGAAGGTTGAGAACCACTAAGGATGAGATTTTTCCCTCATGTTAAATTTTTTTTTCATCTTGAGTTGCCTTTCTTACTGAGATATGCCACACATTCGGTGAGAGAAGATATACACACCCATCAGTACCACTCAAATCAAGATGCAAATCATTATACCCTTCCCCAATCAGTACTGCATCCCCGTCTGGAGGTAATCAATTCTTCTGCTTTCATGGCTATTGGATATTTTGTCCATATTTGACTTTGTGCGTAGATTTCACTTGAATGTGATTGATCACACAGTGTGTATAGGTTATGTCTGGCGTTCTTTTAATCAGTAGTTTTGTGTTTGTACCATTTTTTTTTCAGTTGGCAAATTGTACATATAAACCCCAGAGTTTATCTCCTCTAAAATAGAGGGACTTCTGAGTTTGATCATTGACAGGGCTACATTCTGAAGTGAGCATTCCTGTGTGCTTCCTCTGGTGGACACATTGCATAGGATTTTTAGGGAAAAGAGTTGTTAACCTTGTAGAATATGCATGTGGTCAGTGATAGCGGATATCACCAGTTTTCCAGAACAATTGAGAACAGAGGCTTTTGCTTGCTATAGAGGAAAGTTCTAGGTGGTGTTCATTCTTGACACTGGGTGTTTGCCGTCAGTCTTTTTAATTGTAGCCATTCTGGATAAATGTGGCATTTAGTTAGAGTATGCATTCCTGGTGTTCTGATGCTGATCACCTTCTCTGCTTATCTGAGTGCGCTTTTTTTTTTTTTTTTTCCCGAGACAGGGTTTCTCTGTGATTTTGGAGCCTGTCCTGGAACTAGCTCTTGTAGACCAGGCTGGTCTCGAACTCACAGAGATCCACCTGCCTCTGCCTCCCGAGTGCTGGGATTAAAGGCGTGCGCCACCACCCGGCCTGAGTGCGCTTTTTGTCAAGTGCTAAGGCCTTTGCTTTTTTTTGTAATTAGACATTTGTTTTCTTACTGATTTGTAGTTCTTTATGTAGTCTTACAGATTTCTTTTTCTGACATATACTTTGCAGATGTCTTTTCCAAGAATGTGGCATGTCTTCATTCTTTTACTAGCGTCTTTTGAAATATAAATGATCTCTTTTGCGTTGTTGTATCAGTGTTGGGATTGACTGTGCCTGTGCTAGGCAAGCGCTTTACTGCTCACCTACATTCTATTCCCAGTACAGATGTTAAAAAATTGTTTTAGATTTACTTGTATTTTATGTGTGGACTGGAGAGATGGCTCAGCTGTTAAAGGCTAGGCTCACAGCCAAAAATATTTATCTTGTGTGTATGAGTGTTTTGCTTGCATGTATGTGCACCATACGTATGCTTGGTCTCCTTGGATGTCGGAAGAGGGTGTCAGATCCCTTGGAACTGAACTTATGGATGGTTGTAAACTGCTGTGTGTGTGTGTGTGTATTGGGAACTGAACCTGGGTATTCTACAAGAGTGATGAGATTTCTCAACTACTACACAGTTTCTCCAGTTCCGTTTTTTTTTTTTTTAAGAGAAAGAGAAAGTTATTAAGTACATTGTAAGGGAGCAGCAGTCTGGGCAATAACTAGAGAACTGCTTATGGCCAGAAATGATTAATTTAATATAATAGAATAGTTTAAGTTTTAAAAGACTGCTCTTTCCATTGAATTTAAGAAACATTGAGTAGATGGCTAATAGAATTTTTATAGGAAAATATGAGAGAAGGACTTTGTAAAAATAAAAAAAGGAAGACTGGGAGGAGGGGCACTAGAGAGATCTGCCTGCCTCTGCTTCCTGTTTGCTGGAATTAAAGCCATGTGCCATCATGCCTGACTTCTTCCATGTTTTAACACCCCCCCCATCAAAACAACACCCCCACCCAATCTAGTTTTTCTTACCCAATCTATTTTCTGTGATTCCAGCTTTTCTCACGGCACTTACTAGCCTGGATCTCTGTGAGGGCAATAACTTTGCTTTTGTCACCATAAAACGGTCTGTAATTCCTGCTAGAACACAATAGACGCTTAACGTTATTTATGCGTTTGCAATCTTTGCCTGCATGTATGAATGTGCACCATGTGCATGCTTGGTGCCCACAGAGACCAGAAGAGGGCATTGGATTTCTCTGGAACTAGGCTTCCTTTGGGTGGGTGTAAACTCCCATGTGAGTGTGCTGCTCTGTGGGTCCTAAGAAACCAACCTAGCCCTCTGCAGCAGCAAATGCTCTTAACCGCTGAGCCATCTCTTTAGTCTTCGATCTGCTTATTTGTAAACAGTTTCAGAGTACAGGTTCGGAACATAGTCTTTGTCTTCCGTGAGCCTGGATTCCAACATTGCTACTTACTGACTTCAACTGTTAGCCTTAGTTAGCATACCGGAAAATGAGAGTATTTTATACAAGTCATAGTTTTATGAGAATCTGGCAAGATAAATATGGACATCTGTCAAATAAAAAAAAATAGTTCAATAAATAGTGTGTTAGAATGCCTAGGTAGCTGCAGTTGCCTGAGGGCTCACTCGTAAAGAAAGTTCAGCCAAAGGAGTGCTTTTTGGCCCAGATAACGATGATGACAGCTACTATATAGGCCCTACAATTACCTAGGCCACATTCCTCTCGTTGGGCCCTGTGTTTTACTTGCTTTTTATTCTGCTTCTGGGGCTGCAGCTGGTCTCGGACCCTCCTCTCCCGCTGCAGTCTCACTCTAGGTGGGAAGTTGTAAAAGCCGAGCAGGAACATTGTGTAGGCGGAACTCGAGTGCAGCGGTGGGAGGCTTCCGGGGGAACAGCACCGGTGACGGGTCGGCGGAGACAGAAAAGCGCCGGACGCCCGGCCGATCATGGAAGCTTGACAACCTGCAAGCAGGCTCTGGGAGGCCGAGACATCGGCGAAGAGGACAGAGAGTCGGAGCGGACAGGTAGGAGACGACAAGAGGGCAGGTCCCGCTGGTCTTGGCTGGACCTCCTGCTTCGATCCCGCAGGCTTTCCCAAGAAAGCAGATGGCCCCGCCGCCCCGCCCCCGTTGCAGGACACCGAGAGGTCCTCACTGTGTGCTGTTGGCTAGGAGCAAGCCCACCAGTTCTGACGTCCACTCTAGCTTGCGACTGTCGTCTTCCACGCGGTAGCTGCCCTCTATGGGCCCCTTCCCATAGAGGCTGTTTCCTTTGACCCTTTTTGGCGCTTCAGAATAGCGTCTTCCCGAGAGGGGAATTCATCTCCACTCCGTCCCTAACCTCCTCCTCGAGGAGCCTCCCACTTCAGAAGAAAAACGTCAGTCACCATTTTATTCCATCCACGCTATCACCACAGACTTTGCTCTTGAGATTGAGATCTTTCAGAGGCACCCGAGTTTCTCCCCATCCCCAACTCTCTTCCCACCCTGCTCCTTCCACTTAGTCTCTTGGCTGAGACTCCCATCTTTTCGGTTGTGTCTGCTTGGGGGTGGAGGCAACGACCAGGTTTTGTTCCTCATTTTCTAACTTAGTCTTCTTCTCCTTACCTGTCTTCCTCCCCTTCTCCCCTTCTCCCTTTCCTCTTCCCTTCCTCGGCTTTCCTTTTTCTTCCTCAGAACTCTTTGTTTTCTAGCACTTCACCTTTTCTGTTTCTGAGAGGATCTTAGGTAACCCTAAATGAGGCAACATACCTTTCCTAATATCCTGAAAGGGCTCTTCTTTGACTTCTTTTTTTCTTCATTCATACCCACACACCCATGCCCCTTTTCTTTCATTTTGTCACATTCTTCAGTGTGTATCATTTCTGGAAAACAAATCTTATGTGGGGTTCCTTTAGAGCCCATACACACTCAGCATATATTACACAATTGATGAACTAACTGTTTTGTATCAAATATCTTGACGATGACAATACAATATCTGCATTGGGATTGGGAATTGGAGAGATGGTTCAGCTGTTAAGAGCACTGGCTGCCTAGGCAGCGGTGGTGGCCCACACCTTTAATCCCAACACTTGGAAGGCAGAGAAAGATGGGTCTCTGTAAGTTTGAGGCCAGTCTGGTCTACAAAGGGAGTTCCAGGACAGCCAGGGCTACAGAGAGAAGTACCACATAAAAAAAAAAAAAAAAAAAAAAGAAAATGGCCAATAAGTGAATATATGAATGATGTAATCTTCTCTATTCAGTAAATTGTATAATTAAAATTATTAATATTAAGTATTAAATTGTATCAGTCAAATGAGGACAGTGTTGGGGAGATGGCTACGGAGTAAAGCACTTGCTTTGGAAGCATGAGGACCCAAGTTTGTTCCCAGGAACTCAGATGAAAATCAGGGCGAGGTGGCGCACTGGTAATTCTTGCCCTGGGACAGCAGCCGTGGAAGGGTCCCTAAGACTCGCTGGCTGCCAACCCAACCTACTCAGCAAGAGTAGGATCAACAAAGGACCCTATCTCAAAAAGCAAGGCAGAAGATATCTGTCTTAATTTGGGTTTCTATCGCTGTGAAGAAACACTGTGACCAAAGCAACTTGGGGAGGAAAGGGTTTATTTGACTTCCACTTCCATAGCATTGTTCCTTATCAGAGGAAATCAGGACAGAAAAACTCAAATTGGTCAGGAACCTGGAGGCAGGAGCTGATGCAAAGGCCATAGAGGGGTGCTGCTTCCTGGCTTGCTTCTCATAGTTTGCTCAACCTGCCTTCTAATAGAACCCAGGACCACCAGCCTGGGGATAGCACCACCCACAATGGGCCCTAATCACTAATCACTAATCAATCACTAATCAAGAAAATGCCCTACAGGCTTGCCTACAACCTGATCTTATGGAGGCGGTTTCTTAATTGAGTTTCTCTCCTCTCCTCTCAGATGACTTTAGCTTGTGTCAAAATGACATAAAACTACCCAGTGCGACCTGACTCACACATATATACCCGACAGGAACACACACACACACTCACACACACACATGGGGGGCGGGGAGAGGAAGTGAGAGAGAGAGAGAGGTGGATCATTTTGTGTGTCAAACTTATAACAATGGGAGAAGCCAGCAGCACTCAGGGTTGAATGGAGGGAAATGGTTTACCCCTATACTGCTATTGGGAAAGTCAACTGGCACCTGTTTTGTAATGGGATCCTTTTGCAATAGGTCAGAAGTCTTAAATGGGCTCACATTTGGAGCTTGCAATTTTACTTCTAGGAATTTATTCCAAGGAAATAATTTTAAATTTGTGAAAATGTTTAGGGACAAAGGATTTCACATTTTGTTTTTAGCAAAAAGTTGGAACTGACCTCAATGTTTAATACCAGAGGATTGTCTAGACAAATTATGGCCAAACCCATCATCATCTGCTGTAAAATATGTGTTGTAGAGATATATGTGTATATGCGTGGGTGTTTAATTATTTCCTAAAAGAATTCTTTCATAGTTATGTTGAAAAAGAATGTTGAATTCTTTTCTAAACAGTAGTGTTTTTTTTAAAGGAAACTTATTACACCCTGAGAACCAATGATACAGAAATATATAGGGCAGGAAGATAAAACGAGAGATCGCATCCTCCTAAAATAGAAACTGTTAAGTCTGTGACCCCTGGACCTTTTTGTTTATGAAGTAATTTGTCATTATTTAGGACAAAGTAGTACAATAGTACACATTATTTTATAACATTTCTTTAGTTATATTGTGAGCCTTCTTTTAGTTAAGTTGTATATGGCTTGCCTCTTTAAAAAACTGCTATATTTTTATTTCTTTGTATAATGGGATGAGTCCTGGAAAATCAGGGATAAGATTTTTGGAAGGTATGTACTGGGCCAAAAGAAGGTCTATTTTGTCTTATTTTTAAATATTCTTTTTACTTGTTCTTTGACAACTTAATGCACACATCCAATGCATCTTGACCATATCCACCTCAGCCACCCCCCTCATGCTCCTTTAGGCCCTTCAACATGGCCACTTCCACCTTCGTACCCTCTTCCCTTCCTCCCTCCCTCCCTCCCTCCCTCCCTCCNAAGGACCTGAGTTTGATTCCCAGCACCCACATGATGGCTTACAGACCATCTGTAACTCCATTCTGTGGGGATCTGATGCCCTTTTTTGGCTTCTGTGGACACCAGGGATGAACATGGTGTATTCATACATGCAGGCAAAATGCTCTCATCGATAAATTAATTAAAAAACAATATCTGCATTGTTCCTTCATATCCAGTTATTAAGATTTTGTACACGTTCTGGAGTCATGTTTGTTAAAATGTCCATATCAGCAGGAGGTCAAATGCAATTTTTGACTTAAACAGAATGTATTTTCTAGATCTGAATTGTCTTTTTTCCTTTCTTTCGATCATTCGTTCTTTCCTTCCTTCCTTTTTTCTTTGAGACAAGGTTTCTCTGTGTAGCCCTCGATGTCATGGAACTAGCTCTTGTAGATTAGGCTAGACTCAAACTCAGAGATCCTACTGCCTCTGCTGAGAGCTGGGATTAAAGGCCAGTGCCACCACTGCCCAGTTAGATTTGAATTATCATTGCTTAATTTTGTAATTATTTTTCCCACCTTCCTATGCTGAAATGACTTTTTTTTCCATTGCTGGGCAAGCCGGTGCCTTGTATAATATGCTAAGCATCAATTGAGTGTGGAGCTCTAAACATGGGGTTTTGAAGAAATGAACTGCGGCTCTGTTTTCTCTTTGTTTCTGATATGTGCCTGGCTGTGGGTGGGATTCTTCTTTTTTAAAAAAATAATTTACTTAATTTTATGTGCATTGGTGTGAGGGTGTCAGATTCCCTGGAATTGAGTTACAGACAGGTATAAGCCACCATGTGGATGCTAGGAATTAAACCTGGTCCTTTGGAAGGCAGTCAGTGCTCTTAACCATTGAGCCATCTCTTCAGCTCCTGTACGTGTGATTCTAATGACACAAAAATTGCCTCTGTGCATGGGCAGTATTCTCTGTCTTTTAATAGAGCCTAGAAATGAGGTAGATATAAAACATGTGTAAAGAAACTCCCCTGTGTCCTGGTCAGCTTTACAGACTTAGAAGATGATGCTTCTGATGGAACAGGTAGGAAAGTGTCTTTTAGACGGTGTGTTCAGAACAACTTCAGAATTGAGGGCAGAATATCTTTAACTCCAGGGTGAAGTTTGCCCATATCACAAAGTGGTTATTGTATCTAGATTCAGGGGCTGTTTTATGGAGAGTTGTGAAACTAAAGTGTTCTTGTGTCTGACCCAGCACTCAGTTCACACTTTGGAAAGGTGGTAGAATGACTGACCTGTTTTCCTTCTGGACAGATCTCAAGACCAGAGAATGGCAGGTGAACAGAAGCCCTCAAGCAACCTCCTGGAGCAGTTTATTTTATTAGCCAAGGGTACCAGTGGCTCAGCCCTTACCACTCTCATCAGCCAGGTGCTGGAGGCTCCTGGAGTCTATGTGTTTGGAGAACTGCTGGAGTTGGCCAATGTTCAGGAGGTAAGGATAGTTTTCAGACAGTCTTTCTGTCTTCTCTGTGCTATATTCTTCTTATTCTCCAGGTCTCCAGCAAATTTTAACATTGGTATCCTCTTATTTGGAATTGGTGGGGAGGAGATCAGGGATAATGTTTCAGAGCTCTTTTATTCAGTGTTCCCTTAAACTGAATAAAACTAGATTGTGTTGTTCATTGTGTGAAAGATAGTAAGACAATCCCAATGATCTAGACACAGATAGTGTTGTTTTATTGTTGCAGTCAGTTTTGGGTCATTGTACATAGTTCCACTGAGCCACATTCCCAGCCAGCTGACTTTATTTTGTTAATTGTAAGAATTTGTTTGTTTGTTTGTTTTTTGTTTTTTCTTTTTCAAGAGAGGGTTTCTCAGTGTAGCTTTGGCTGTCCTGGAACTCACTTTGTAGATCAGACTGACCTCAAACTCATAGAAATCTGCCTGCCCCTGCCTCCTGAGTGCTGGGATTAAAGGTGTGCACCACCACTGCCTGGCCTAATTGTAAATTTTTATTTAATGTAACTCTTGCTTGTTATACTTACACTAAGGTCTGTGAGTGCAGAGTGGTTTAAGCTTACCATGGCTTCCTTGGGCTGAGTACATAGCCTGACATGTAGTAGACTTTGAGTAAAGATTCAGTCAAAGCCGGGCAGTGAGGACACACGCGTTTAATCCCAGCACTCGGGAGGCAGAGGCAGGTGGATCTCTGTGAGTTCCTAGACCAGCCAGGTCTACAGAGCAAGTTCCAGGACAGGCTCCAAAGCTACTCAGAGAAATTCTACAAAACAAACAAACAAACAAAAAGATTCAATCAATATTTTTTTGAGGGAGATTTGAGAGTTAGGCTTTTTGTTTAGTTTAGTTTTTTTTTTTTTTTTTTTTTTTGAGATTGACTCTCATGTTTCCTAGGCTGGCCTTGATCCTGCTTTCACCTATCACGTGCTTGACTAGGCTCCTTTTCCAATAGGAAAGCTGACTAGCTGTAATGTGTTTCTTCAGATTCCTGAATGAACATGCCAAGTAATTATTTTTGTGACTGTTGAGAACTGGCTAAGAAGAAACAGATGAAAAACAAGCTGGCAAGACCTTACAGACTTAGCCAGTCAGAGAAGTTTTGGGAGTATCTGCATTAAAGATCTAACTAACTTTGTAATTGTATGAAAAATAGGTGCTAGATTCAATGTTCTTTACTGAATCTCTTCCGCTCTGGTCCTGAGACTTGAGGATGTTCGTGATAACTCGAAAGGACAGCTTGAGGCATGTAAGGATGCTAGCATTCTCACATTGGAGCTTACTGGGGCTTAGCAAATCTCCTTTGCCTGCAGACTCTTTCTGTTGTTCTGTTTGAGCCAGGAATAAACTAGTTGCTTGTCAGCATTCTGAAATTATGGATGCAATTATTGGAACTCTTTTTTAAATAGCTAAAATAGAATAATGTTGTCCCTGTTTTGCTTTTTGGGGTTTGGTAAGTGGGAAGAGATGGTGAGTGTGTGTGTCTTTGAGGATTGAACATACAGTGTTCTGCATGCTGAACAGGTACTCAGCCACTGAACTATGTGCAAGTCTTCCTTTTCCTCTTATTTTGAGCCAGGGTCTTGCTGAGGCCCCCAAGCCTGTAGCTCAGCCTGACCTTGAGCTAGTCATCTCCTTCCTTTAGCTTTACAAGCATCAGGGATTATAAGCCTGAGCTGTGTGACGCAGCTCAGCTACTCTTTGCATTTTTTCCCATGGATGTTATTTTGCCATCCCATGACATAAGTGAAATAAATTAATGGACATTTTTATTTGGCTCTGTTTCAGTATAGCCTTTCTGTCACACCTTACACTGTTCTAGGATGGCCAGGGTTCACAGTTCATATTTAGTGCTGAAACTTGGAACTAGTCATGCGGTTTGTTCTAGTGGGTGCCACCATACTAAATTGGGGGCTGGCAAGATGGCTCGATAGGTAAAGGTGGTGGCATATAAGCCTGATGATCTGAGTTTGATTTCTGAGAACCTTCATAAAGGTGGGAGGAGAAAATGAACTCCACAAGTTGTTCTGTGATCATACACATGTGCACTGCATCCACACATACATGTCATACACATGTCATGTACATCAACAGTTGGTATGTAGACAGGATCACCACACTCTCTTGTTTTTTCTTTTGAGACGAGCTCTCATTCGCAGGTCATCCAGGCTGACTTTGAACTCAGTGGTAACAGGGTGATGTTGAGCTCCTGATCCTGCTGCATCCACCTGAGGAGTTACATTTATGCAGCGTGGATTGAACCTAGCTCTATGTGCATGTTAGGCAAGACTCCCAGCCTTCGGTATTTGTTTTAAGGCAGGGGAGATCCTGAGAAGACTTGATGCTCCTGGTGCATAGAGCTTTGTGGTGGAGTGGCTGGCAAAGGGGCAGAGAGAGAGGAAGAAGAAGCTACTTGAACATCTTATATGTTGTGCAAAATGTCTTCCCGAGGAAAGAAGAAGATTCCCTTTTGTACTCAAATAGTCTTGTTTAGTTTTTCTCCAAGAATCAGAAGTGGAAAGGACCTTAGGAAATACCTAATAAAATGGTACAGAAGAAATGACCGTGACATCCTTGACGTTTGGTCACATGTCCTCTATAGAATATTGTAGTGAAGCTGGGCAGTATCCCAGCACTCAGGAGACAGAGCAGGTGGATCTCTGTGAGTTCAAGGCCAGCCTGATCTACAGGACAGCCAGTGCTGTGAAACACTGTCTTGAAAAACCAAAAAAAAAAAAAAAAAAAAGCCTATTGTAGCGATTAGTGGAAATTGGTTTTGTGATGAACTTTTCCTTCCTCAGCTTGCAGAAGGAGCTAATGCTGCGTACTTGCAGTTGCTGAACCTGTTTGCCTACGGAACGTACCCGGATTACATAGGTGAGTTGGCTAAGACCCTGCAGAAGATCTGAAGCTTGTGGTAACTGCCAGCTGTTTGTAGGGTGGTAGAGTTATGTGTGGGTGTGGGCAGGGTAAGCAGGTCTAATTACTGATGTGATGGTATCTCCATATTCTGTGTTCCGAAGGTAACTTCACAAAAGCATTTCCCTGATAACCTTTAATGTCCTAGGTGTTAATGGGGATTATGTGTGTGTGTGCATCAGTGAACAGAGGCCTGTATATCTCCCAGATCAGTGTCTTGAGCAGTAGTGTTTACAGGGCACTCAACTAGCAAAATAATTCAGTGTTTTTTTGAGACAGGGTCTCACTTTGTAAGGTGGCATGGAACTCATTATACAGAGTAGGCTGGCCTTGAACTCAGAGATCCACCTCCCTCTGTCTCCTGAGTGCTGGAACTAAAGGCACACTTCATCACATCTGGCAGTTCAGTGTTTTAAATGTTATCTAAAAGTTTTGAAGGTCCTGGTGAGATCTCTCAGCAGGTAGAGGCACCTGATAGGAAGCCCGACTGGTGGCTTGTGTTCAATTCCTGGGACCCACATGGTGGAAGGAGAGAGTTGACCCCTGCAGGCTGTCTCTGACCTCTACAATGCACACTGTGGTATGTGCAAACACACACACACTTACACACACACTCACACACACACACACACTCACACACACATATACATTTTTAAGAAAAAAATCTTGTTTTGCTTTCTTTGTTTTGTTGAGATAGGGTTATGTGTAGCATAGGCTGGTCTTGAACTCAAAACTTTCCTGCTTCATTCTCTTGAGTGTTGAGATTATAAGAATGAACCACCATACCCAGCTTGAATGTTCTCCAAAATAAGATTACTATATTGAAGAAAATCTGGAAAATAAGAAAACGTTATGGACCATGAAGTTGCCCTTAGCATTATGATGCTGGGTGTTTTTCCTCCTTTATGCTTGTTTGGTGTTATGTAGGTGTAATTAGATTGTGTGTGCAGTCTCATTCCTTGCCTTTCCCAGGCCTTTGTCCAATCCATAGTTAAGATATTTAATTTTTAAAAATTTTTATTGCTTTATAAATAATACCATTCAAAATTTCCACTTTCTCCCCTCTCCCATTTCCCTTCCACTCCCCCACTCATCCTTCCCCCACCTACCTACCTTTCTTCCTTTCTTTCTTTCTTTCTTTCTTTCTTTCTTTCTTTCTTTCTTTCTTTCTTTCTTTCTTTCTTTATTAGTCAGAGTCTTGCTATGTTCCTCAGGCTGACTTCAAACTCTGGGTCCTCCTGCCTCAACCTCCCAATTTCTCATCTTACAGATATGTGCCATCATGTCTACATTCATTTTTACTATTTCACAATAAACCACTATACCACTGCATTCCTAGCTCATTTGAATGTTTTTATTTTAATTCACTTATGTTTTTGCTAAATTTTCTCATACAATTATTTTAATCATACTCCTCCCAGATCCTCTCCACCTCTCTAACCACCCAACTTCATGCTTTTTCTCTCTCGCAAAAAGAAAAAAATAAAAATAAAAACCAAAGTAAAAATAATAAAACAAACAAAAAGCAAAAAGAACCTCTGAAAAAAACAAGCCCATGGAGTCCATTCTGTGTCGTCTCACTACTACTCCTGGGCATGGGGCCCACCCTGGGGTATGGCTGATACACTCAGTGACACTCCGCTGGAGAAAACTCATTTTCCCTTCCCCAGCAGGTACCAATTACAAATAGCTCCTTGGTTAGGTGTAGGAGCTTGTGTCTGTCTCCCCTCTCAGTGTTGAGGATGCAGGACCTTGTGTGTATCTCCCCTGTCAGTGAGGGTGCAGGACCTTGTGTCTGTCTCCCCTGTCTGTGAGGGTGCGGGGCCTTGTGTGTATCTCCCCTGTCTGTGAGGGTGCAAGACCTTGTGTATATCTCCCCTGTCAGTGAGGGTGCGAGACCTTGTGTCTGTCTCCCCTGTCAGTGAGGGTGCGGGGCCTTAAGATGGCTTAAGTAGGTGACAGTACTTGGTTCAAGGCTGACAACTTCTGTTCAGTTCCTGAAGCCCTAGTAAAAGGAAAGAACTGACTCTGGAAAGTTGTTCTCTGACCTCCACATGCACACTGTAGCACGACTGTGCTCACACCCACACACACATTATACACACCCACACAGTAATAGTAAATAAAATATTAAGAAACATTAAATAGTCAGGAGTGAGGTGCTTGTAGACTTAAATATTACCTTTATTTCTAAGTAATTCTTTTTGGCTTTCCTAGTTTCATCTTCCTTTCATCTCCTCTCTTCCTTCTGTCTCTTCTTTTGACAGTAGCCTGGGACTCAAGACTCCCGCTCCTGTTTCCTTGGCATCCTCCTCTCTCACTGCCACTTCTACTTATTCTGTGTTGCTGTCAGATTGAACTGTTTGCCACTCTGGTACATGACATTTCTCTGACCTGCTCTTTGTCCTGTGGAGTATATTTTGTCACTGTCTAAGGAGGCAGCATTGCCCAGATTCTGGAACCAGACTGCCTGCATTAGATTCTACTAGTTGTGTGTCTTTTAGCAAATTAAATGATCACGTGTGTGCCTCAGTTTCCCTGTCTGTACAATGAGTGTAATTATGTAAGTCTTGTTTGTTTGTTTTGTTTTATTTTTTTATTATTTTTTTAAAGATTTATTTAAGTATACAGTGGTCTGCCTGCATGTATGCCTACAGGCCAGAAGAAGGCACCAGATCTCATTACAGGTGGTTGTGAACCACCATGTGGTTGCTGGGAATTGAACTCAGAACCTTTGGAAGAGCAAGCAGTGCTCTTAACCACTGAGCCATCTCTCCAGCCCCCTGTTTTATTTTTTGAGACAGAGTTTCTTTGTGTAGCCCTGGCTATCCTGGCACTTGCTCTGTAGACCAGGCTGGCCTCTGCCTCTGCCTCCAAGCACTTTTACAAGTCTTTAGGCTAAATATTTTCAGGATTTAGAATTTGGCGAACTTAAAAAGGTAACGTGGGGCTGGGGAGGTAGCAGTGAAGAGCACATGTTGCTTCTGCAGATGACTGGAGGTCAGTTCTCAGCATCCACATCAGGCAGCTCAGTGCTCCTTATAACTCCAGTTCTAGGGGTCCAGTGCTTCTGGCTCTAAAGGCACTTGTACACATATGCAGATACCCACATATAGACATACTCACATAATTAAAAATAATACAAATATTTTTAAAGAAAAGTAGTGTGGGCCAGGTGGTGGTGTTGTACACCTTTAATCCCAGCACTTGGGAGTCAGAGACAGGAGGGTCTCAGTGAGTTCGAGGCCATCCTGGTCCTCAAAGTGAATTCTAAGCCGGGGCTGTAACACAGAGAAACCCTGTCTTGAAAATCAGAAGAAAGGTAATGTGATATATGTGCCTTTTTCTGTAATCTTATGGGACGTGGGCAACAAAACAGATGAATATTCACAAGTAGGATAAAAAGCTAGTATAGGTTTAAGGGAGGAATTGTTGTTTGATGTCTTTCAACATTATGTTTAAGAAAAAAAATCCAGCCAGATGGTGGTGGTACACTCCTTTAATCCCATCTCTCTGGGAGGCAGAGGCAGGTGATCTCTGAGTCTAGTTTAGCCTGGTCTACAGAGTGAGTTACAGGATAGCCAGGACTACATGGAGAAACCCTGTCTCGAAAACCCAAAAACCAAACGAAACAAAATTTAGTGTTTTGGACTCCAGAATTATGGTCGATGAGGTTGAGGACATTTGAACTCTTGTCTCCTGGAGTGTTGTGAGGATGAGCTGCATGTGCTCACGTGTAAGTGGATCTGGCTGTGCGTTCTGTCCTGTGTAGCTGCCTTTGTGACCATTGATGGAATTACTAAAACTGTGCTCATCCCTCAAGGTTCATCTCAAACTCTTCTTCCATGAAACCTTCATTTTTGTGGTTTTGCACCTTCCAAATGAGATTGTATTTGTTTGTTCGCTCTTTCTCTGTCCCCCTTTTTCTTCTTTCTTCCTTTATTCTCTTCTTTTGTCTTCTCTATCCTCATAACTATCTCTTCTGGTAGTTTGTATCTTTTTTCTGGTAGTTTTACCTTTGGATTTGTAGCTATAGCAACATCCAATTGTAAGACTGAGACTGGACATGGTGACTTACACCTGTAATCCAGCACTTGAGAGGCAGAGGCAAAAGCAGGTGGATCAGAAAATCAAGGTCATCCTTTACTACAGAATGAGTGTCAGGTCAGCCTGTGTTACCCTTAGAAAATCAACAATAAAACAAAACAAAACAATACAAACCTGAGGACGCATCCAGGGTTTTTGAATTGTGTACTCCACATAGTTGGTGCTTCTGGAGTTGTGTGGTGCAGCTCCCAACATAGCCCAGAGTTTTATTCATCCTCAACTCCCTGATTCTCCTTGTAAGATGTGTGCATTGCACATAACATGCTCACTGAGCTTCACAAGGGCACAACACTATTCCATTAAGATAGTCGGTCACGTCATTTGTTTGTTCATGTCTGGCTCTGATACTAAGTTCCTGTCTTTGCTTTCTGGAAGCACATGGTCTTCCAGAGAAGGTAGGGGCTGTGATGGAGAGTGTAAGTACAGTCATGACAGTGATCTAGTAGTAGATTTGGTGGGGGAGTTGATGAGCTTATCATAAAGAGAAATCCTAATTTTATTTTGTGTCTTGATTCTTGTGGTGGGTGGGACCGAGCAGCCAACAAGGAGAGCCTGCCAGAACTGAGCGCAGCTCAGCAGAACAAGCTGAAACATCTTACCATCGTGAGTTTGGCATCAAGAATGAAGGTACTGTCCAAACCTTTCCTGTCTTCATCTGAACCCCGGCTCAGGTGTCTTATTGCCATCAGTGAAAGAACTTGCAGCTAGTAATATCCTAAATGCATGAAATGTACTTGGCAACTAAAATGTGTGGACAGTCACTCCCCATTCTGTTTTGGAAAAGCAAGCCCAGCAGTGACTGATTAATCATGTCTCTCTTCTGGCATGCTATGGGGCTTCATGCAGGTTAAGAGGAGCCTGCTACCTAAATGTTCTTAAAAGGTGTCTTTTTGACTGTTTTTGTTATGTGATACCGACCCTCACTATGTGGTCAAGGCTGTTGAACTCACTATGTAGCATAGGTTGACCTCACAATCATGGCAATCCTCCTGCCTCAGCTTCCCACATGCTAGGTTACGTGTGTGTCACACTATACCTGGCCTTAGTAAGGCTTCTTGCAGCAAGTTAACAGCTTCCTGATTCCCTGGTGCACTACATTGATTGCACTCATGCTGGGGGAAAGACTTGCTTTGTTGGGCTGAGTGGAGTTTTACTGATTTGTGATACTGGGGATTGGATTCAAGGCTTGTGCATGTGAGGCAAATACTTTCTTTCTTTTTTTTTTTTTTTGTTTTTTTGAGACAGGGTTTCTCTGTGGTTTTGGAGCCTGTCCTGGAACTAGCTCTGTAGACCAGGCTGGTCTCCAACTCACAGAGATCCGCCTGCCTCTGCCTCTTGGCTACTGGGCGTGTGCTACCACAACCTGACTTGTCTTTCTTTTTTTTTTTTTTTGTTTTTTTGAGACAGGGTTTCTCTGTGGTTTTGGAGCCTGTCCTGGAACTAGCTCTGTAGACCAGGCTGGTCTCCAACTCACAGAGATCCGCCTGCCTCTGCCTCCCAAGTGCTGGGATTAAAGGCGTGCGCCACCACTGCCCGGCTGAGGCAAATACTTTCTATCACTGAGCCACACCACTAGTCCAGAGAGATACAGTTCTTTTGTTTTGTTTTGCTTTGCTTTGCTTTCCTCTCTCTCTCTCTCTCTCTCTCTCTCTCTCTCTCTCTCTCTTCTTTCCCTCCCTCCCTTCCTCCTTCCCTCCTTCCTTCTTTTCTTTCTCTTTTTTCTTTCTTTCTCTCTTTCTCAGCCTCTGGTCTCTATCTCTTTCTCTTTCCCTCCTTCTTTTCTTTTCTTTTCTTTTCTTTTCTTTTCTTTTCTTTTCTTTTCTTTTCTTTTCTTTTCCTTCTATAAAGGGTTTCTCTGTATAGCCCTGGCTATCCTGGAACTTTGATCTGTAAACTAGGCTGGCCTTGAACTCAAAGAGATCCACTTACCTCTGCCTCTGTATTGGGATTAAAGGTATGCTCCTGCCTGGCAAGATAGATACCTGTTCTGTTTTTCTTTGGGATTTTCAGGGTTAACTGCATTAATTGAATTTTTTTCCTTATCTGCTAACTTTGTGTTTATTTAATTTTCATATGCCAACATTAGGACCTATCCTGTCAAATTCCACCACATCGTAACTGCTGGTTCTCTGCCTCAGCCAATTTAGAAGAAGCCTTGCAGCCAGTAGCTTACAGCTTTTAACAGAGAAGGGCCAGACTCCATTAATGTATAGTTGGTTTTGACTTACCCCCTCCTTATTTGTGTCTTTCTGTGAGAGTATGCCTGTGATAAGTTTTCTTTTCTCCTCTGTAATTAAGAGTTGTGTGTTTGTTCCTTGATTGTCTTTTCAGTTATCTAATCACAGATTAGGTTTCTGGTCGCCAGCCCCGTATTTCAGGTGGAAAGCTCCTCTTCCCCTTTTCATCCTTTCCTCCCTTTCTCTTGTTCTGGAGATTGAACTCTGGGGTTGGAACTCAGTGCCTGTGCATGTTTGTCTGGTGCTCCACCACTGTGCTATACTAGTGGCCTAGTCAGCCCTATTTTCCAGGGGAATCAGGGCACAAGGACCTTTATCTTTTCCTAGTCATGGACCTCTTAAGCATGGTAAAGAGTAGGAAGACTGTCTTCTCCTCCTCCTCCTCTTCTTCTTGTCTTTTTTTTTTTTTTTTTCGAGACAGGGTTTCTCTGAAGCTTTGGAGCCTATCCTGGAACTAGCTCTTGTAGACCAGGCTGGCCTCAAACTCACAGAGATCTGCCTGTCTCTGCCTCCTGAGTGCTGGGATTGTGCGCCACCAACACTTGGCCAGGAGTAGGAAGACTGTTTTCTCTCGAGGCCTATCATTTTATACCCATCCATCCCCCTAGAGAGCATGCTTTAATCTCTAGGAAACCCTTCTAGGTGTTCTTGCTGTGTTTCTCTTCTGTATTTGCCTTCCTCTTGCCTGTTTCTCCTTTATTTCTAAACTAGTTCTGATATCTCAGGGTTTATAGAATATATATGTTTAGATACTCTCTTTTTTAGTATGAGGGGCTGTTACTGGAGATTTGATGTAGGTTATAAGAGTTTGAGAAACAAACACAAACTTCAGGATCAACTGAACTGCCCAGCTCTACTGGCCTCTGTAGGTAGTAGATGTGCTGGCCTGCGAGGCGATTGGTTTTTGTTGTTGTTGTTGCTGCTGCTGCTGCTGGTGGTGGTGGTGTGTGTGTGAGTTTTTGTTTTGTTTTGCTATGCCTCTACTGTACTGGGTAAGCCCTGTTTTAAGCTTGCAGCTGTTCAGCATTTTATGCAAAGTTTTCAAGCCTCCATAAGGTGGCAATGTAGTGAATACTGAGTATTTCTCTTTGCTGTGGAAGGAGTGTTTAGCATCTGTCAGAGGATGGGTGTGGAAGCGGGGAGCAGAGAGCTAGGAAGGTGCTTCCTTGGGTGCTGTGGATCTTGTTTGGGTGTCACAGGTTCCACAGTTTATTTATCCATCTCCTGTTGTCTTAGATATTGATGATTACCACTGGCCTGCATTGCCTAAGCACAGAGAGACAGCTATTGCCTTGTGGGTAATACTTGAATTTTTTTGTTTCTTTGCAGTGCTTGCCAAGTGTTTTTTCTAACTGTCATGTGACCTATCCACAGTGTATCCCCTACTCTGTGCTGCTGAAGGACCTGGAGATGAGGAATCTCCGGGAACTAGAAGACCTTATTATTGAGGCTGTCTACACGGACATCATCCAGGGCAAGCTGGACCAGCGAAACCAGCTGCTAGAAGTGGATTTCTGCATTGGCCGTGACATCCGAAAGAAAGATATTAACAATATTGTCAAGACCTTGCACGAGTGGTGAGGCTGGGAGATGGAGGGGGGCTTCTCGTACGCCCTTTGTGTCTCTCTTTACAAAACTGTGACTTTCAGAAGTCAGCCAAGGGTTTGTGGTAGGCCTTGGGGCAGCCGGGAAACTGAGGCCCTAGGACACGGAGACTGAAAGTGGGGCTTCATTTCTAATCACCGCTGTGTGGCATTAAGCATCATTTCAGGCTTCCTTGTGCCTGAGTAGTAAAACTGACTTTAAATGCAGCAGGGCTGTGTAACAGTGGGCCATAAAATACTCATGTGGAGATGCAGGTAGGATCTCTGCCTCCTGGCAGTGTGGCACTGAGTCTGCACCTTCCAAACATAAACTCAGTTTGGCCAAGCTCAGGAAGTAATGTCAGTAGCCCGTCAGCTAGTTAGTGCTGGTGGAATGTCGTGAGGGCTGTATTAAATGGGCTTTTGTGACTTGGGACACAGGCGCATAGCATAGGTCATAATTGTCTGGGTGGCACACGCCTGTAATCTCACCTCTCAGGGTGCTGAGGCAGAAGGATTATGAGTTGGAGGCCAGTTGAAGACTCTAATTCCCAAACAACCTCCTGCCCAAAAAAGTAAGTGAATTTAGGAAAAGAACTGGGACTTAGGGATATAGTTTTATATTAGTAGAATTTGATGTTTGCAAAAGTGATTACATGTTTTGAAAGGATTTGCTATGAGGTTGAAATGATTTGGAGCTTATAAAGCCAGAGCTTCTTAGGGAATTGTGCGGAAGTTTGGAGGGAGAGAACATTATTGGGAGTGGGGAGAGTCCCATATAGGCTCACAGCATGCTATATGTCATTATGCAGAGTGGACAGCTTTGTGCTGGGAGATAGGGAACCTTGCTTTGTTTTTGTTTGCGTTTTGGGGACAGGGACTTGTTCTCTAATCCAGGGTTGCCTGGAACTGTGTGTCCCAGGTTCGAGGGATACATGGTTTAGATCAAGTTTAAGATTTGCCCTAAACTCTGATTTGCCCGACTCTGCCTCCCAAGTGTAACCACACCCAGATTTTTCTTCTTTTAAGATTTATTTATTAGTGGCACACCCCTTTAATCCCAGTACTCAGAAGACCGAGGCAGGCAGATCTCTTGTGAGTTGGAAGCCAGCCTGGTTTACAGAGTGAATTCCAGAATAGCCACGATTACACAGAGAAATATATGCATACACCTTTTCTTTCTGTCCCAAGAAAGAATGTATTCATTTTTATTTTATAAGTGTCTTACTTGCATGTGTAGAAGTACACTGTGTTTAGCTGGTGCCTGTAGATGTCAGAGTCCCTGAAGCTGGAATTATGGATGGATGTGAGCGTGTCCATGAGTGCTGAGAATTGAACTTGGATCCTCTGTAAGAGCAACAAGTGCACTAACCATTGAGCCATCACTTTAGCCACTGAAAGAGACTTTCAGAACTCCTATTTAGATGTTAGAGGTCAGTTAGAAACAGAGTTATTGTCCTGAGAGATAGCACAAATATGGCAAAATGTTGACCATATTGAATAGTAGTGGGCGGTATATGAATATTCATTATATTGCTTTTCCAAAACATTCTTATTTTTGAAACAGGATCTCAGTTTGTAGACCTGGCTGGTGTTGACCAGTCTAACCTTGAACTCAGGCCTGCCTTCGTTTGCCTCTGCTTCCTGAGTGCTGGGATTAAAGGCTTGTGTCACTGAGCCCAGCCTGTTTTTAAAAATTTTAAATGAAAAGTGGGAAAATAAAAGTGAGAAGTTGTTGATAACTAGGAAATAACTCCAAATTCTGAGGAAAAAGGCAATCTCTAAAATAGCATGTGTTTAGAAAATGTATTTTTTTCTGTTGTAGAAAGGGATCAGCCAGGGTTACCTGTAGAGTTTGTCCCTCCTTCTGTCTTAGTCTGTATCACTGTTTCTTACGGGCTGCAAAGACTGGAAGCTAGAGCTGTATTCCAGGAAACTCCCCCAGGCCACTGTATCTGTGAACTTGTCTGGAAGGAGAGGGACTGGTACGGCCGTCCAGCAGAAGGGTTGTTGAAGGAAGTCCCCTCAAGTGCTGTGCCTCGGGAGGGCTCGTTCCTCACTGCTGCTCAGGGCTGGTGTTTCCATTGCAGGTGTGACGGCTGTGAGGCAGTTCTGTTGGGCATCGAACAGCAAGTTCTGAGAGCCAACCAGTACAAAGAGAACCACCACCGGACTCAGCAGCAGGTGGAGGCAGAGGTAAAGAGACAGGGACATTTGTTCCTCTCTTAGGGTGTGCCGAGATATGAATTTGCAGTGTTTTTGTCTGTGTCATGTGCTTTCCTGTGAATGCGACAAATAGCCCCTAAACACGCTTGGGGTTTGGTGCTGGAAGGTAGGGATGTGGCCGAGAATGAGCAGGCCTGGATTATAAAACATGTAATTCTCCAGTGTACGCACACTTTGTAGCTGTTGAAGAAAAGAAATGGTGACAATGTGTTTTAAAAATGGGTACAAGGGAGCTGGAGAGATAGGTCAGCAGTTAGGTGGATTCACCACTCTTGCAGAGGACCTGGGTTTGGCTCTCTGCACTCACATGGTAACTCATAGTCACCTGGACTCCAGTTCCAGGGGGTCTAATGCCTTCTTCTAGCCTCCATGGCTCGTCCTTGTCCATGTACCCAGACATATGCCCAGGCTCACTCACATACACATAGAATAATAAACATTAAAAAGTATTGAAATTTGAAAGAAATCTGAGGACAGGGCAAGGTCACCTCTTTCATACCAGTTAATGTGTTAACCAACGGCTTTCTAGGACACTTAGAGCAGACGGATGTGGAGAGAGAGGGCAGAGCTCAGCACCTTGCTCATGGTCTGGTGTCAGGAGCAGGTGCTCATGGCTGAGCTGTGCTTCAGGTGCTTACGGCATCCTTGCCTGAACACAACACATACATAAAGAACAGAGGTGATCCTGGCACAGCCTCCTGTGTCGTTACTTCTCTTATGCTTGGCTCAGATTTACAATCATTTTTATCAATTGAGTAGGTGAAATATATTTTTTTCCCATTTGTCCTTAAATTCCATTGCTCTTCAGAAGGGAGAAACTTGATAATTTCCTTTCAGATCTTAGAGCAACAACTTTCTGGTGAGTTGTGCTTTCCAGAGCCTCCCTTTGAGTTCAGTCAACCCTATGACAAACTGCCTGAGAAGTTTCTCGTTTTAGCCTTTTATAGAAATAACATATTTAAATGTAGTTCGGCATACCTGGGGGAGACATAATACAACAGTAGCGTTCCACGGCTTTGCGGTGCCCCTGAGCAGCACTCTGGAGGGAGAGGAATGGGGCTTGCAGCATCACGAAGCCTCCCTTCGTTGCATTTGCTTTCGGAATGTATTTTTCTTTATATTTGAATGTGGCTGTGTGTGGTGTTCTGTGGAATATTAATATATAGCTATTGTTACACAGTCACAGAATAGGCTGTGTTCCCCTCACGTAGGAATAGAACAAGAGTAAGCGCAATTTTTTATTGTGGAGAAAATCCCTGAGGAGTTCAGTTGTTACAGTTGCTAAAACCATGCCTCCTGGGAACCTCAGAGCGCGATTCTCACCATCTCTCACATCTCCGCAGCCTTTCCTGTGGGCTTGATTCTGTTTGCTCTTTTTGCTTTTACTTGCTCTCTAAAGTTCACTCCAGGCTGGCTTCAAGCTTTCTGTCCTCCTGCCTCGGCCTCTGGAGTCCAGGGACTATGGTTACCTATCACCACACCTGCCTGTCTCTTGCACTGCCCTGAGTTCTCCCCTGTCCCCTCCCCCTGGGGAGCCCTTCTGTCTCTTGCTTGTCCTTAGGATCTCTGATCTGATAGTACCAGGCTACATTTTGTTAACAGGTAAACCCACTGGGAAGTTCCTGATGCCTATGCTTTGAAAGGCTCTGCCAACTCTAGGTTCCCTGGGTGGGGTGGGGCAGAGGCAGCCTCTAGGCCAATTCCTTGAGGAAGGAAGCCTGAAGGGCCCTCGTCAGATTTAGGTCAAAGAAGACACACTTGTGGGAGTACTTGTTATCAAATGGGTGTGAAAGATGAGGGTGCAGATGGTTGGGTACCTTAAAGTCTTTGAGACTAAAGTAGGTTTAACTGGTAGACCTGCCTAGGAGGCCATTCTTGGGTCCTGGACGTGGGCATCTGCACTTAGTTCGGTACTGCCTGGCAGAAGCACTAGTTGTCATTGTCTATCTTTCTGCCACCTCCTTTCCTCCCATTGTGTGTATATTTTTGGGTACAGATGCACAGGCCTGTGGATGCACCTCAGGTGTCATTCCTGAGTCCTTTTTTTTTTTTTTTTTTGGAGTCTCTCTTTGGCCTGGAAGTCTCCAAGTAGGTCAGGCTGACTGGTCAGTGAGGACCACGGATCTGTCTCTGCCACCTGACCCCTGGGACTGTAAATGTCTTCTGCTATGCTTGGCATTTTGTGTATGGGTTCTGGAATCAAAATCAGGTCCTGTGTTTGCAAGGTATGCCCTTTGCTGACCATGTTATCTCAGCCAACTAGGTGGACTTTTTTTTTTTTTAATACAATGGTACCTGGAGGGACAGCCGTGGGTGCTGGGAACCGGACTCTTATATTTTTGGTTGTGAGCCTAGCCTTTAACGGCTGAGCCATCCCTTCAGGCCTAGGTGGACTTTTTAAAGGAGTTGTAATTTTTATCAAAAGACTATGTATCTATCAATTTACTTACTTATTTTTTAGACATGGTCTCACTATGTAGTCTTGGCTAGCTTAGAACTCACTGTGTAGACCAGTTCAGGGCTGGCCTTGAACTCACATAGAGCTGCCTACCCCCATCTCCCCAGTGTTAGGATTAAAGGTATGTGCTACCGTGTCTGGCTAAAGACATTTAAAAAAGATTTTATTTTTACTTATATATATATTGTGTGTCTGTATGAGTGTATGCCATATGTATTTGGGTGCCTGAGGAGGCCAGAAGAGGTTATCAGATCCCCCGTAACTATGGGATGTTATGAGTTGCCAGATGTGGGTGCTGGGAACTGAACTAAGGATCTCTTGTTGCTCTTAACTGTTGAGCCATCTCTCAAACCCCAATCTGAAGAAACTTTTGAGCATAAGTAAAACATATCCCCAAACCTATCCATCCCCAAATCCTGAAAAACATTGAAATCTGAAACACTGCAGGTTCAAGTCATTCCAGACACTGGATGCTCAGCCTTCACAGCGATACTGATTCAGTATGAAACTTGCATCCATTTGATCTGGAAAGCCTTGTCTAAGAACATCCTTCACAGATGCTCCCAGGGTGCAGAGGTAAACGAAGGCTGTTTATACCAAACACTGGTTCTTAAAGTAGAAGCGTGTGGGCTGGGGAGATGGCCCAGCAGGTAAGGGTGCTTGCTGCTCTTCTAGAGGATTCACAACTCCTGTAACTCCAGCTCCAGGGAAGCCGATGCCCTCTTCTGGCCTCTGGGGCCATCTTTCTAGCTCCTAGTTCCATGTTGTTGTTTTTGCTGAACTCATTTCCATTTCGTTTATGAACAGTCTGTGTGTCTCCCTCTGGGTCTCTGAATATCATTTTAGATTTCGTTGCAGAGAATTTGGGCCACTTCTTTAGGTGGTCCTTAGAGTGGGAACAGGACTTGGTGAGTTTCAGGTTTGTAAGTACAGGCAGGTCACACAAGTTCTGTTTCTCCTTCTAGGTTAGCAACATCAAGAAGACACTCAAAGCAACAGCATCCTCCTCAGCTCAGGAAATGGAACAGCAGCTGGCTGAACGGGAGTGTCCCCCTCATACTGAGCAGAGGCAGCCAACTAAGAAGATGTCCAAAGTGAAAGGTCTGGTCTCCAGCCGCCACTAGGGCCGGCTGGGGCAGCTGGCACTCACCAGGCCTGGGTCAGGTGGGGAGGGGACACCCAGGCCCTATTCCTCCCCTCTCTAGCTGCAGTGAGTTCCAGACCTGCCCACCCCTCACCAGTACCTCCCCGTCCATTGGTACCATTGCGGAAAATGATTGCTCCTCCTTCGCCTCCCTTCCTAGTTGTTCCCTTCAGACTCAGGGGCTCAGCGGATGCCATCCCAACAGGGTCCGACACTGCCCAGCTTCCCTCCAGGGGTTCCTTGTCTCTGTGTATGGGCTCCCCCCTACCCCCCAGTTGTTCTCTTGCTCCATGTCATTTTGTCAGGCTGGTCCTAAGCTGGAGGCAGTTTACCCAGTCCCGAGGGATGACTGTGGAGGAGGCTCCTCTCTGAGTGAAGAGGGGGCCGTGCTTCTCTAGCCCCACGTACCACAGTACCCACAATGGTGCAAGTCTCTCTAGTCAGGTAGCCACAGTCCCCCCTCCTGCCTTACCCCTGTTGGCAGTGCCAGTTCAGGCCATGGAGGGATGTGGTGCTGGGCTCTGTTTACTAACCCTTTGGGTTTTCAACCTCTTCAGCCCAGCCAGGATCTCTCCTCAAGTTGGGAGCTCTGGGCTGACTAACCTCTGGTATCTGAGTATGAGTGGAGGGTGGCAGAGGTGTTTCCCCTGCTTGGTGTCCTCTGCTGTCCCTGACTGCTCAGCCTTGATTTGGCACCTAGGCCCAGCTGCCCACTGGGATTGTCTGCCAATATTTGCTCTCCCGAGATCTTTCATGCCTCCTGGCCGTCCCTGGGGCAGGAATGGTGGTGCCGAAGCTCCTCAGATTGGTGAAGGACCATTGCTGCTTCTTTCTCCTTCCTTCCTGCCCCTCCTTGGCTGGCAATCCAGAGCCCTCTGATGACATACTCCTGACCAGAGAAAAGGACTTGACTAGACTTTCTGAACTTGAACAGTTTCAGGTTATATTTTAATTTTTTTTTTGTACAGGTTGATTCTAATACATTTCAACATGCCTTTTTCTCCCTTGTGTCAATATTTGTTATAGTCTAATCGCCGGAGATTTCTCACCTGGTTGGAGGGTGTGTGTGTGTGTGTGTGTGTGTGTGTGTGTGTGTGTGTGTATGTTTGTGTGTTTATTTTCCTTATTTTCCGAAGGGAAGGTGGAGGCCCTGAACTGATTTAAACTTCATTGAGAAAAAAAGCACATTTTAGAAAAAAACAAAATAACAGAAGTGTAGATTTGACATCTGTGACTGTGGATTATGGGGCTGTACAGGTGGGTTTGGAGAACAGTAGTTTGGGTGACGTAGAGACCGAAACTCTGTTTTAGTAGCATTGGTACAAAGTGGGTTGATCCAGTGTTAAAAGTATTGTTTTCCTTTTCTGCTGGTCCGTGTGCTCATATGACACTGTGCCCAACAGAGGTTAAGTTGGACTCCCCACGTGTGTTTGATGAATTCCCGCATTGCGTCTCTGTGGAAGAGGGGTCCTGTTATTAAATAAATGTGGCGCTCCCAGCATCCCACATCCTCACTGGAAATTCATTCCTAAGGTCATGGAGGCATCCTGGGATGAAACACATCCACACTGATTTCTCCACCAGGTCCTTTGGGTGTTGGTATTCTAATGGGATATGTTTTAGGTAACGTTGGGGAAATACGTACTTCTCAAAAACCCTCAGAGATACAGAACATCTCCCTGCTTCATAGATTTTTTTCCCCATTACCCTTTCTAGACCCCAGACAGGGATGCACTGTGAGAAGCTACTGCTTCTTCTTCTTTCCTCCACTGACGAGTTCATTAGGAAATGGGATTTGTTTATTTTTAATTCAATTTAAAATTTTTTTTCAAGACCGTGTTTCTTTGTATAGCTTTGGCTATCCTGGAACGTACCCTATAGACCAGGCTATCCTGGAACTCGCCCTATAGACCAGGCTATCCTGGAACTCGCCCTATAGACCAGGCTATCCTGGAACTCGCTCTATAGACCAGGCTAGCCTGGAACTCGCTCTATAGACCAGGCTATCCTGGAACTCGCCCTATAGACCAGGCTATCCTGGAACTCGCCCTATAGACCAGGCTATCCTGGAACTCGCCCTATAGACCAGGCTATCCTGGAACTCGCCCTATAGACCAGGCTGTCCTGGAACTCGCCCTATAGACCAGGCTATCCTGGAACTCGCCCTGTAGACCAGGCTGGCCTGGAACTTAGAGATGTGCACCACCACACCCAGGCAGGAAATGGGGTTCGCGTGCCACAGGTGTCCATTTGTCTTGGCAGTCCGTCTCTCTAAGGATCATCTTCCCGGCTTGCTGCGTCCCGGAAGAGATGCTGATGACAATACACTGGTAAAGTTCTGGCCGAATGTTCCCACCTCCACTCAGTCCTTTTCCAACCTTCTGAGATCAGTAAGGGTATTATTGCCGCTACACTGGAGGAAACTCAGAGATTCAAAGGGCCCTGGTGGTAAGTGACAAAAAAGAGGACTCCCAGACTCTAAACTTCATGTGACCTACTGTTACCTTGTTGTGACATTGTAGTTTACAACCTGCCCCCAGCTGATCCTTGGTTTTGCTTGTTACTCTGAGGACTTGTCTTTAAACCAACAACCAGTGTGAAACTCCAGAGTTTTATTTTAAAACAGGCAGCAGTTGTTTGAGTTTTACTGAGGGACCCATCATTCTACCTAAGGTATTTGCGTGTCAAATCTAGCAGGCTTTGGGCATTTTGGTTGCACCTTCATCCTCTGGGGGTTCTTTGTGTAGCCACAAGCGTCTGTCTACTCCGTAAGCTTTTTACTAGGAATTTGTGCTTGTGTTTGAAGTACTCCTTTATATACTTACTTAGGGCAGTAAGGAGCTTTAAAATATAAGTTTGTTTAGAGTGAGACATCTGCAGAGCAAATCATTCTTAAATCGTGCTGTACTGAGCTCATAGAACTACACCGAGACCAGGCACATCCACAGACCTCAGCTACAAAACTGCCTTCTTTCGCCCATTCTGCCTTCTTTCCTTAACAAATAGCCTCTTTCAGAGGTGGCTCAAGGTAGAATTGGTCTTCCCCATATTTTGTCCAGTGTATCTTTGGCAAGAGCTGACGCGTCATGATCAGGCCCGTGGCCGTCATGATGTGACAGTCCTGTCGTCACAAAGGTTCTCCGGAAGCAGCTTCGTGACTTCTCTCACATCTTCCATCTTGTACATCATATGATCTCAAATTAACCTGCTTGGTGTGTCTTACAGAATTACAATACCTTTTTCTCATACCAACCAGCCACTGGCTGGATGCAGCAACAGCAGCCTGCCCACCATTTTTGACCTCCTTAAGTAGATATTTTTTGCAACAGGGTCTTGCTGTGCAGCTTTTAACTCACATCCTCCTGCCTCAGCCTCCCTTCCACGTGCTGGGATCGTAGGTGTGCACCGCCATGCCCAGGTATATATAAGTGGATCTTTTAAGTTTGTGTTTACTAAGTAGGTTGTCTCTGACTGTGCATCACCAGCATAGCTAACAGTGTTCACCATCAGATTGGTCTTACATGAGAGGTGAGGGATACTGTCTTTGATGAAGAATGAAGTCAGTGATGGGGAAGTGAGATGAGGGAGGCCCACCCTTGCCTTCTCTCCAGCACATCTTGCTGTGGGTCACAGCAGAGGTCGTCATCCCTCCGTTCAGTGCAGCTCTGTTCTCTCCACCCTGACTGGGTCCTCAGAGTTGTTGGGCCGTCATGCAGTGCCCAAGTCGGCTGGTTCTTGTTTCCTAGGACTGTTAGGAAGTTTCACTGGGGATCCAACCCGGGTCCTCTGGAAGAGCAGCAATGCTTTTCATCGGTGAGTTTTCTCTCCAGCCCTGTTTCTGACAGTGATGACGGTTTACCCATCACACTGATCTCGTTTCAGCGAATGACAAGATTTTACTTCTTTGGAAAAGTAGAAAGCATTAGTCAGGAAAACCCAGTTTCTTTTCTTCCATCTGTAAATAAATACAGCTATATCTTGCCTCTTTTGTTCTTACTGTAGTGGGAGATTCTGTGTGGGTTCATGTTCTTCCCCTGTGCCTTTTTTTTTTTCCTCCACCCCACCATTTCTTGCATCTCAGCATCTTCCATCTCCAAGTGCCTGTATGTGATAAAGAATCCTAGAGAGATCCTTTCTGGACCCACTGTCGTTCTAGCCACAGCCTTTTTCTGTTTTAACAATTAGGCTTCTTGACTCTTTCTCATCTCTGCTTCCTCCTCACTGCACCTGCCTCTGCACAGCCACCTCCCCCCTCCTCACTGCACCTGCCTCTGCACGGCCACCACCTCCTCCTCACTGCACCTGCCTCTGCATGGCCACCACCTCCTCCTCACTGCACCTGCCTCTGCACGGCCACCTCCCCGTTCCTCACTGTACCTTCTTCCAAACAGCCACCCTCCACTTTTCCTTCCTTTTGGTCAAGGGTGCCACTGACCTCGAGCTTTCTGACAGTGTCAGTCTTAATCTTTGTGTGGCAGCTAGCATTGACGAGCCCGCTTGCACTGGTGTTCTCAGCTTTCATGGCACTCACATCTGCAGGCCTTTCCTGTGTTTCTCTGCCTGCTCTAAATTTCTCCAGGAATGTGTTAGTTACTTTCTATTGCCATGATAAAATAGCCCGAGAAAATCCAGAGCTTCAGCCCACAGTCCCTGGTCTCCATTGTTTTGGGGCAGTGTTAGGGCAGAGCATCATGGTGGAGCTGGATCGCTTACTTCTAGACAGCTGTGAAGAAGAGAGTGCGAGAAGGGCCTGGGACAAGATGCATAGCCCTCCCCACTATCCAAGTTCCGTCTCCTGGCATCTCCGCCATCCTGGACCAGACACAAGCCTTTGGGGTGGAGAGGTCATTACAGATCCCAGCTCTGAAGCATTGTCTTTAAAGTCCAGTTATATGTGCTTGCTAGGAGTCCACTGTGACCTCATTTTCTTTTACACATTCTCCATGGGCTGTGTGATTCACTCCTGTGGCTCCAGTTTTAACACCCAGCTCTCCATCCGTGGCTGTTCAGCGTGGAACAACCCAACCATTGGCCATTTCCCAGACCTATTGTCAATAAATGATGTTCACCATCCAAGTTTCTTCTGGTTGCCATAGCAAAAGACCTTAGGCCATGTATCTTAAACAACAGAAATTAATTTTCTCACAGTTGTGGAGGCGGGGAGTCCAAGGTCAGGGTGTTGGCAGGATTGGTTTCTCTTGAGGCCTGCCTCCTTCATGTGCAGACCCTTGTCCTCAGGTCTTCTCTGTCCTCCCAGGACCTTTACCCTGTGGATACAGATGACTCCTACCCTCAAGATCTCATGTAACCTTTACCTCCTTAAAGATCCACTTAAAATATGTTCGCACCAGGGTGTGGGCCTTCAAAATGAATTTAGACACAGTGCAGACCGTCATAGTCATTACCTGATGAGAATTTGAGGTCCATCCTATTTTGTCCCTGTACCACGTTTGATTCACATCCTGATTTGTATTCTCAATATTAGAACTATTCCCATCTCTCTTGCCACTTCAAACACTTAAAAACTGGTTCATTAACATCCTTTTGGGGTACACATTATTTTTTGTTAGGAATGCAGCTGAAGGTCAGGATATGTAAGATTACAGTCGATGGAAGCCAACTATGGTGGTTGATACTTGTAGTCCTTGCCCTCAGAGTGAGGCAGGAGACTAGTTTAGGGAAAGCCTAGGTAGCTACACAGTGAGTTCCAGGCCAGCATGGGTTACAAGTGTTAGACTGCCCTAAAAAACCACAACAGAGTGGATGGAAAGAAATTATAGATGAGTAAAGGTGATCTGCAAAGTCAAAATTATAAGGCCAAGCTTTTTCTAAAAAAAAAATACCAAACCAATGAGCAAAGACAAATGAGCAAAGAGGACCACAAAAGCTTAAGATTAAATAGTTTATTATTAAATATATTAAAAGTTTAAATAGCAATTTAAATTAATGACAGTTTTCTGGAAGGAGATGAATGATCATGATTTATTCATGAGATAAGGAAATCAAGAAATTAAAGGTAGGGAAAGCTGCCTGCTGTCGAGCCAGATGACGTGAGTTCCATCCTGGGACCCACATACAGTGCCAACGACTTCAGATTGTTCTCTGATCAACACATGTGCCCCGTGGCATGCAGGCCTGCATGTGGGCACACATGCGCATGCACACACACACACACACACACACACACAAAGTGTACTTAAAAAAAAGCCAGGCTTAATGGCGCACACACCTTTAATTCCAGCACTTGGAAGGCAGAAGAGGTGGATCTCTGGGAGTTTGAGCTTAGCCTGGTCTACAGAGCAAGTTCTAAGAGAGACCTTGTCTCAAAAAAGAGAAACAGGAGGAAATGATGAACATTAGGGCAGGGAAGTAGCTCACTGATAAAGTGCAAAGCCCTGGTTTGATGCTCACCCTGCAAAACTAAATAGTAATAAGTAAAAACCATGGAAGATAACACCTTCACAAAGGCTCTGGGCT